CAGTTGACCTTGCTCTACCAAATAGTGAATAACTGTTTTTATAGGAAGAATATTATGGTTCGAGACTTTTAAATACGTCTGTGAATATATTAGGAATCCTTTAAGTAAACTTGTATTTGCTGATTTCAAGTCGTAAATAAATTAATAGATGATTAAGTTGAGTGATAGATTTAGACCCATCAAAACTAATTCTGACACAACTTGAATTGGACACACACAGATCGTTCCAAGCTTTGTACAAAAATTGAAATTTGCTTAATTAAAAGCCTAATAGCTGTTAATTAAAACGTAATTAAGTAGTGTTCAATATTTGTTAGTGTTCTAATTCAAAGCCGTGTTGTATCCCAATACAGTGAACTGAATTCGAATACGTTGATGTCGGCATTACGTATCAGTTAAATTTGAAGCGCTGACTCAATACAACTCACCACGTGTCGAATATTGCCACACACAGTGACGGAATATAGGGATTTGGTAGGTTTCCATTCTAAAGGCTTTTTAATAAATATGGCAACATTTTGTGACGTTTCATCGTTGCTGACGCGCAGAGTGGAAATCTAAGATTAGAGGTTCACTTAAAAAAAGCATTCCGCCTTGAAAAAAAAAAAAAAACGTTCCAGGCAAGTGGCAACTAGAAACAGGTTTGCAGGTCGTCAGAAATCGGCCTCGGCATGAACGTTACGTGACTTACGTCAGGCAACACAGAGATAATCCTAAAATTGTTAATTGTGCGCGTCACTCACGGATAAGCAAGAGGAATATACTGAAAGAAGAGTACACGTTGTGCTCGGTAGAAGTTACAAGGCGGGGCATGAACGTTTCCGAGGTCGTTGGTAGAGACGCGTCACTCTCCGGTGAGCAAAGGATATCTTGAGGAAGCCTCACAACATTGCAGCCGGTAAAGGATGTACTCTTGATTCTGAAAAAAGTTCCATTAGATCTTGCCGATATACTCGAATGCAAAAGTTGCCTATATACGAGTTGATTAAGAGCACTTGATGTATTAGTTGTTCAGAGTTAGACCAGTTGATTCAGAGCACACCAAATTATTTTCTTTTACAGTCATAACTAATTTACTCCTTGATTGTTTTCATTACTTCTGAAAATCATACCTGAAACTGATTTGGAAGATATGCTAGCATCCGACTCCCAACCAGCTCAAACGAACGCGGATTCGATTGCATGCAATCTATGCCTTTGTATATTATTTAAACTGCACATGAAGAAAAAAATTGTCAAAATTGGCATTGTTCTATGAACGATACTTACACTCTTGTTGATAAAGCTTGCATTTTATATAGAAAAAATAAATGTGATCATTGAACATAAAAATTTTTGAATTCAAAGATCGTATCGAAACATCATATAATAATTAGTGGAAGTAAAGGCATAAAAAAGTGCAAAAAGACAAGCACGGAGCGTATAGAGACTAAGTTGCAGAGTATTTAAAACGTATCACGTACCCGTGAAAAATGGAGAGCGTGAATTACAGTGACGACCGATTAGTACAGTCAACTCATTAAGGCTGGAGGTATTTTTCCCCATCGAACTTATGCTCCAAGTTTGCAGTTTTTTTAGCGTGACATTTAATACACATCCAGCGTCCAGCAGGCAGTTTGTTCATTTTTAAACATTTCAAGTGGAACCAGTCTCCTCCTTCGACATTCTTAGACGCCAAACGATCGAGGAGCCACCTCATGCCATCTCCTCACGCTTCCCCAAGGCTGCCAACCTGGACCCCGTTAGTAAACATACTTTCCAACTCCCCCTACACTTGCTACCAATTGCCTGAAAATTAATTATGTCCCAAACATTGCATTTCAACTTACCCTACACTTGCTACCAACAGCCTGAAAATTAATTATGGCCCAAACATTGAATTACCTGATCGTTAATTATGTAGAGATTTCTGTATTTTCTGAATTAAGCTGAGAAATCCAAGTTACGGTCTGAATTTATCGAATTGTTGTTCTTTTAGAAAAGGTAAAAACACTGTCTTGTCTTTTTTTATGTAGTTTTCTCTCTCCGGATGATGTTTCTATCAAAGCCGATGAATATTGACACGTACTAACTGTCCACAGAAAAGTGTCCCGAAAGTCACGAGCGATGCAGGCAAGCTGTCCCAGTCCCGCCATCTACAGACGCAGAGCCTCGCTTTCCGGCACTCCCTCATCACACTTCTGTACAAACTCACGCACTCCACACCTCACTTCGTCAGGTTAGTGTCATCACACTGCTGTACAAACCACACTGCTGTACAAACCAATCGTCACCTCACTTCGTCAGGTTAGTGTCATCACACTTCTGTACAAACTCACGCACTCCACACCTCACTTCGTCAGGTTAGTGTCATCACACTTCTGTACAAACTCACGCACTCCACGCCTCACTTCGTCAGGTTAGTGTCATCACACTTCTGTACGAACTCACGCACTCCACACATCACTTCGTCAGGTGCGATTATCATCTAAGTATTCATCGTCACATTCTACATTCTACATGGCACTTTGTCATGTGGGCCATCACATGACTGCTAATATATCGTCTGCCATGGCTATATCTACGTTTAAATAATGAGATCGTACTACTCGCGTTGTTCATCATGAGAAAATGAACATCAAATGCTCACACTTCACTTTTGCTAATATCGTCAGGTGAGCTCGTAATTATACGTGTGTGTCGTTAACTGAGATGAAATTTCGAAATCTTTTACAGACAAGCCTGTTGCAACAATTTTAAAGATATGCAAAGTTCAACCGACCAAAGTTTGCTACGGTCAAGTTTACCTCTGGTTATGACATCATTATTCATTTCTAAATATATTATGAAGCAATCAATTATATACTTTAATGTCGAAATGTCAATTTAATGTTTAATTAATAATTCAACAGCTCTTGATCTTAGTTTACTTGCATGCGCCCGCCCTGATTATCAATATTTCTCTGTCTGATCTCAGATGCATTCGCGGCAACATGGAAGAAACGGACTCCTTTGACACTGCGATGGTGAAGCATCAAGTCAAATATCACGCTCTTTGTGATACCATCACCATCAGGCAACAGGGCTTTTCCTACAGAGTCCCCTTCGACAGTTTCTTGAAGAGGTGAAGATATTACCGAGATCTCCAAAATCAGGTTATAGCTTTCTTGGTTTTACATGATTATAAATAATTACGATTGATTACCCTGTCGTCCAAAGCGTATGGCAGGGTGCAAGGCCCAGTGGTTACAGTTCAGAGTAACAAGATTGGCGCAGAGAGATGCGGGTTCGATCCCAGCTCTGTGCGACAATTTCTGGTCAAAATCGGCAAGGAGGCCGGGCGGTTAAGCACAGCATAATTGGAGCAGTGAGTTGCGTGTTCGAGACCGTAACAAGCAGTGAATGTTATACGATTTTAAAATCGGCGACATACCTGCAGCCTAACAAACGCTGAAGTCGCCTTTATTATTACTATTAATATTACCATTACAATTACTAAGAGTCAATTCAATTACAATTCAATTAGGTTTTTATTCACCTGTGAAACAACTATATTTGTAAAACTTGTCATTTTGAAATTCCATTCTGAAGATATCAGTGCCTGGCGTTTGACTTCGACGAGTCGGTTGAGCTGACAGGCGGCAACGCTCGGCTGTTGCTGCTGCGTCTGAAGATGGAGGGCTGGGCTATAGGCTCGTCGCGCGTGTTCCTCAAGTACTACATGGAAGAGCACCTGAGCAGGCTCTACGAAGACCACCTCCGTAAAGTCGTCAAAATACAGGCCATGATCCGCACGTTTGTTCAACTTCGCCGCATTCGCGCCGGCCGGTTTGGACGCAGTAGCAAAGCGTGCTCTCCTGAGCCTGGTGAGCTAGGATCGTGGCTGTGAAAAAATTATTAGTTTAAATAATTTCCAAAGTTTTTCAACTGATTTGAAGTTGAGTGAGCTGAAAAATTTATGCGCTTATTGAGCATGAGAAGCTATTGTCTCGTTATGCCAGATTGATTCGAATTCATTAAAAAAATATATGTGAACATATAAAATACGAACTCTTAGAAACAAAATGAGCCCGCTTCAACTTAATTATTTAGACGACTAGCTTTTGGAATGTATTCATAAACAGTATATTTTTCAGAAATTTTCAGAGTCGGAAAATAATTATGCTCAATCTCGTCCTCAAACACTGATCATTACCAAGTCTGAAACGGCTTACGTGTTCTCAATTTACAGTCCTCGCTCGCAAGGTGAATCAAAAAGCGGCTAACAGCATCGCTAACAGAGCCCGCTTCAATGAAGGTTAGTCCGAACTATTTCATAAGAGCTGTCATTTAATTCTTAATTTAATAATAGCTGTCATTAATTTTTAATTTACATTGTCCTTGTCGAACAAATTGATTACGAAGGCAAAATAAATTTGCAAGTTTCATCTGGTGACAGCAACTGTGGAGGGCGAGGCTGCGCGTATCGTGCAGCTCTATTTCAGGCGCTGGAAGATGCGCACGCTCTTCCAGACACTGCAGATCTACAGATGCGACAAGATGAAGCAGTTGGTCTACTTCTGCCAGCAAGTTAGTATCTTTATGTAACAGTTCATGTTATATGCTTGCAGATCGTTATTTTAATGAAACTATTCTTGTTATTCTGCCAATAGGTCGGTATATTGATGAAGCATTTCATGTTTTTCCGCCAGCCGATAGATATTTAACGAAACGTATGTCGGACATATGAATTAATATTAAACGTATGTCGGACAATTTAAACCACAATTCCAGTTATTTATTAAAAAATGACGGCATGAGAAATCAACTCTAGTTTTTTAGGGCATGTGTCCGGCAATTTCGATGTTTTCCAGGTGCATCTGTTCAACCAAGAATGCCAGGCACGCGTGTGCTGCTTGAGCCCGCCGGTGCTCTTGTCAAAAGTTGTCCCTCAGAAGCCCTTGTCTCACCGCAGCCTCGTCAAAGAACATTCTCGAGGGCGACCTATGAAACTTACACTCGATCACACTCTCGCCATCTTCTTCGATACCAGCTACCTCTGCCACCCGTCACGGTAAGAGAATAGGTCACTACCAGCTACCTCTGCCACCCGTCACGGTAAGAGAATATGTCGATACCAGCTACCTCTGCCACCCGTCACGGTAAGAGAATAGGTCAATACCAGCTACCTCTGCCACCCATCACGGTAAGAGAATAGTTCGTTGTCCTCTTGTCCTAACTTGCGCACTCGCGTGTGCAAAGTGCATCCTCTCACACTAACTTGCATGTCCTTTTATCCTAACTCGTATGTCGCTCCGTCTTAACTTGCCCGTTATTATGTCATAACCTGTTTGTCGTCCTTTACGCGGACGCAGGACATGTTCGTCCTTCCCCTGAAGCTCCTCAGTCCTACAATACTCACGTATTTAACCCTACGTATCCACACATTGTTGACAACACTTGACATTGTCTGACGTTGCAGCCGCGACTACAGGCAGCAAGACGACGACTGGGAAGGTCCATTCAAGAGTCGCCTGGCTGCTGAGCGAGCAGCTAACATGGGATCAGACAGCCCATTGCCCAGCTCATCTCCCGTGCCCTCAATATCCAGCAAACACTTAATGGATCAATCCCAGTCCAGTTTCAATAAATGTCAAAACCAAATCCAGTCGAAATTCCAAAACAGTAAAAGTAACGACAGCGACGAAGATCAGTTCAAGGATTTGAAAGAACAAATCAGACTGGATAACGAGAGCTGGAAAAACAAAAACAAGTACGTTATGACATCCATGGAAAGCTTTGACAGTGTCTCCTCTTACAAACAAACCTCCCTGCATGAATGTGAAGAGGCTCCGGCAGGTAGAGCTAACAAGGAACTGCAAACCAGCTTTGAATTTGATAAGAATTGTAATGTTTCATCCAACAACTTACCATACACTTGCAACTACAATAACGGTTGTGGCAACGGCATTAATAATAACAGGGAACTTGTCTACAAGAGCAAACGCTCTGAGTCTCGTGAAGGCTGCGCCAGCAACTGCATGAGTACTGGTGAGGCAACGAACTTTAGGTTTATTTAGGAAAAATCTAATGTCACATTAATAATATTGTTATTGTCTAATCTAAATGCATTATTTTGCAACATAATCAAAAGCCGTTGTTCGAGTAGAAACCACATGTTAATGTTTCTATAACGCGAGAAGTGTAATTCTTGATATCCGTGTAATTCATAAGAAACAGATGTTCATTTTACGCAAATCGAAGCTTAAATCTCTCGCAGAGCCTCGCGATGGTGGTCGTGACCACTACAACCGCTTCGCGGCCGTCACTCCTGCCACGAAACCTGCGTGTCCGGTCTACGCTCCTTTCAATTTCAGCTACATCAAGAGGCAGGAGATGAAACCTGCTGTCACTGTCGCGCCGTGGCAAAACAGGAATAAGTTGGTGTCCAGTCTGGCGTCATCGTCATGCATGCATTCATTGCATTATACCAGTGAACCTTTCTATTTTAAATGTTGGTCCTCTCATGGATATGTGCTTGAATCTCAATCAATCAGTCCTTGCTAAAATTTTCCCGATTTCAATAACGATCTTCACAAATTATAACGTTGGTGTCGTTTGTGTTGTCTACCAGGCCATCAAGTCACCACACGCCGCAAGGGGCGTTAAAAGAGATGAAGATGAAAGCTCAACGCCAGGGTGACCAGAGTTCTGCTCAAGCATTTGATTTCCAGGTATGCGTTGGTCATCAATTCTACTATTCAACTATATGAAATTACAATCAAACAAATATAATTTAATGCTCTATGGTTCTCATGTGACATGAATTTTTGGTTAGAATTTAGCCTTTTGGATTCAAGAAGAAAGCGTATAACTGAGGGTCGTTTATATTATATACTCCCCTTCAGATAATTAAAATTGATGTCTCAGATTGGTCCCAGAATTACCCATCCTAGATTTCTTTGAATGACTAAACATCCCGTATTGATATTTCTTAATCGCTTCTTTGTTTGTTTGGATGAGTTTCTAATGTTACTTTTGACTATTGCTAATCAGTTTTATGGTTCTATGTCACCTTAAATCCAGTTTTACTTCTAAACCCATGGACTTGCTAGGTCACTTTTTTGAATGATGTTACGAACATAGATTGTGTTTGATCACGTTCTCGATTTTCGCTCATAGAGTCAACTTCGCAAAACGAACTACAAGAGAGATAGCATGAAGCGTTCAGAAGCTCATCGAGACACCACTATCACAAATAATCTTAACAACCACAACAACGCTTGTCCCTCCTTTCTGCCAGAAATCAAAGTTCGGCCAGAACCACCACTAAGTCAACGAACAGGCCCGGCAAAAGCTGCTTCTCCAGCCTCAGTTTTGCAACGAGAATTATCCCGAGAATCTGCGCGCAGTAAAGAGGCCGAGCGCTACCGGATGCAACTGAAAACGGCAACGGATGCAATGAACATCAGCCCTGCTGAACATAAACCTCCGGAAGATTTAAATGCTATGGAAATATCAGAACAAGAAGATCGACAGCTACTGGTGGTGAATGGGCTAGATTCCTCCAGCGAAGATGAAAACCAAGAAAATGTCGAGGAGACTTTTGAAGCTACTTTCACGGCTAGCACCGAAGAAGCCATGCTTTAGTTTATAAGTATTATTTGGCGATCGTAATAAATATTATAAGCGTGAATAGAGTAGTCAGCAACAGCTCATCCGAGTTTTCTGTAGCGACATCGATATATTCTCGCTCCAATTTTATCATAAGTGAGCTCTAAAGTTTGATCCGTTATCGATAGTTATAAATGTTAATCTAAAAAAGAAGTCAATGTAATCCAGTAAAAATGTTACTTAATCTACCTCTCAACAAGATATATGGTGGATATACAAATTCACGAACAGCCCCGCAATTGTACTCAGTTTCACGTTTCTAAATTCTCAGTATCGAATGAATAAATTTTTCGTTCAAGTCGATCATTAAATATTATATGCGTAACCAGAATTATTTGAGTGTCATAAAAAGGGACTTTGACATCTTTTGCTTCAAACCATATTGTTTATTTATAGCGTTGTATTGTATATTGATCATATTCAGTCATTTTGTAATGTAGTATCGTATTATGGTTAGGAATAAAATTCGATCATTAACTAGCTTTTTATAATTTAACCTTGCTGTTCCTAAGTAATTTTCCTAAATTGTTTGAGGTTGAATTGCAGTTAATGGTAAATTGATCTTGATTTGGCTTGAATTATTATCATTAAAAGTGCATATTTTAATCATGAACGAATACGACCTTTAAATGATTACTTTTACTATTGAAACGAATAATTACAGGAAAATATTTTCTATCATTATTAAGAAAAAGATTCGCAATAAACCTTGATATCGTCGCGAATTGAAAAATTGACAGTGCCTGGAACAAACGTCCATCATTTACTCAATTTGATTATGAGCAAGTCACGAAAAGTACAAAAACAAGCCATGTGACTACTTCTTCAACGCCAACTATGTTATGTTATATAATATATGACATTTTCTTGCTTGGAGGTATAAATGACCATTTACATATATGTTTTTAACAACCACAAATTTCTAACACAAGCAAGATATGTTTTCATGTGTTGCAGCTTCGAATATATAAATAACTTAGTCTTCTAAAATCTAAATTGAACTCAATGAACTGTATATCTCATTATCTGCAGCGCCAGTGATAGAGATTTGTTAGGGTAAATATTATTTCCGTTGTTTCTCTCTATGAATTGAAGCGTCGCCATTTTATTCGGCGTTCGCTAACTGCTTGCGTGGATCTTCATTTTCAAGATAGGGCTTCTTTTCGTGGCTCTCAACTTTCCTTATTGTGTTGCATGAACTTTCAATGAGTAAGTATGAGGTATAGTAATTCTTAGCTTGTACGTCTCTGAAGAAATAGCGTTTAATGACGATTTCAACGCTATTATTACACTCAAAGTCAATGGTGGTCAGACTACCTATATGTTCTTCAAGTTCTATGTCGCCACGTTGCGAATCCAAATAAATGTTCTTTGCTTTCCACCTAAATGCCTGATATAAATATTTACGGCTCAGAATAATGAAGCTTATTTTTACAGTCTTCTGGAATCTGGAGTTTCGTGGCGTTTATTCCTTTCATTGGGCCAGTGAGCCAGGCTGCCAGCAACACAGCAATCAGCACTAAGAATTAGCTTAGTTCTGCTGCCGCCTGACGCCGACCGGCCGACGGTTGAATTAATTTTGACTGTCAACTCAGGTGTCAAGCATGCTGAATTGCTGACAAACCACTGATTTTTTAGAATTGTTTAATTTTTAATTTCCTTTTCTACTCAAGATTTAAAGTGAAACCAATTTCTTAGGACTTAGGGTAGGGTAAACGCGGTATATTCCGACATCGTGTGTAATTCCGTCACCTCTCTAGTTTTTCCTTTATATGAAGCTTTGTTTTAGACTTTAGTTCCATGCGTTTGCCGTTTGTTGATGGTTGAAACGGTGACGTCATACATTTGCGCATCGAACTAATGCCAAAACACTAGGTCTTGGCCATCTAGCGGGAAAATATTGAGATCCAAAGAGAGACAATGCATGCAAGCAGTGTGGAATTCTAGAGGGATATTAAATTAACCAGTACACATAGCATATTGGAAAGCAGGACCTGGAAGGTTGGAAAGTCCAGGAACTTTCCACTTCCAGTTCATTTTATTATATACATTATACATATCCTATCACTTTTCAACTGTGATTGGTTTATGGGATTGTGATTTTAGCCCCTTCCAGCTTTCCAGCTGTGATTGGTTAATGGAGTTGTAATGTTATCTGCTTTCTAGCTGTGATTGGTTGCTGGGGATGCTTTCTAGCTGTGATTGGTTGCTGGGGATGCTTTCGCTTTCTAGCTGTGATTGGTTGCTGGGGATGCTTTCAAGCTGTGATTGGTTGATGGGGAAGCTTTCCAGCTGTGATTGGTTGTGCCCATAAGCCCCGCCCCCAAATATGGTATATGTACTACAGTACTGGTTAACTAAATACTTAACTTAAACTTGATCATTACAAACAAAAAGCCTGGAGAAATTTCAAAAAATCCATTAAATAAAAGAAAAATAGAGAATATCTATCAAACAAGAGACATTCAAACAATTTTATGACAAATCTGAGGTACTATAAAACTGAAACAGTTTGTCCACTTTTGATCCTCCTTATCATTTATAGTCAGTCACCTGGCAGAACACTGTATCTAAGGAAAGCATTCCACCTTAGGTGGAAAGCTTTTTTATAAGTGAACCTCCATTTCTAGAATTCCACCCTGTTAGGGAGATTTTTAGAGAATAATGGTGAAAAAACTATCATTAGGTAGTTATTGAAAATCATGAGAGCAAATGTAGTGTGGTATTTTATTTTAATTGAGTGAAATTAGGCAAGGGGCTATAAGCAGAGGGGAAATTTATGCAGTTCTTGCTCATTCTATGTAAGTTTGAGTCTGCCAAGTTTGTTATTTTTTTGTAGGTATAGAGTACAATGGTAATGTTTTTACATAGAAATGCAAAAATAGTGTTAAATTACTGGTTTCAACTGATATAAGATTATAAGTGCTTGAATTGGGCCCTGTTCTCAATTAAATCATCTTTGATTGGAAAAGAGACTCAGCAATTAATTTGAAAATTAAGAAATAAAATTATAGCCCTTTAATTTCACTCTAGTATTTGAAAAGTCTAAAATTTATACTAGATCAATTTATAAAATTAATTAATTGATACAATTCATCAAAATTGTTCATTTCTGTTTGAAAGTAAAAAGCTGGTTATATCAGTGAGCAAAAAATCATTGTACAAATGCACTTGCCAGTTGATCCACTGTAGTGCTTTTCAGCTGCTGCCTTCTTCTTCACTTGTGTCCTCAGATCAGTAAATTTTTTCCGCACTTCTGCTGCATCTCTTTTCACTGTTGAGACACAATTTACACAATCAGTCACAGCTTGGGCTTGCCACTGCAACAGCTTAACTTTAACAGTGATTTCACTGCTTAATTTTCCTAGGAGAATATCTTGCCTTCCAGTAACATCAGTGATAATAGCCATTACTTCTTCATCACTGAAATTTGGTCGTCTTTTCTTCTGCTGCTCCATTGCTTGAACTTCCTATCCCTTGAACTTGACACAGCTCACAGAGTTCATTTCAAATTTTGTTAAAATTTTTTTCAGAACTGATACCAACTTTAGTTTTTGCTTCCAAGTTTAAATTATTAACTTTCCAGCTCCATCTATGCTATCTGCTATCACAGTTTACAGAATTAAGCCTGCAGGATAACAACAACAGCTCATGATATGATGATTATTCGATTAGTGAACAATAAATGTGGAACAGTTAATGGAAATCATGGAATAGGAGTCATTACAAATAAATAATGAACTGTTAAGTGTGAATTGAATTTAAAAATAGGGTCGTGTTATTGTTAAATGTTAATAGTTTTGATAATAATTCAATTATTTAGAAAAATATACATATGTTAACACTTACTCATAGCAAAAAAATTTCATCCACTTGAGCTTAATGTACTGTCAGAAGTCAGACTAAATAAAGAATTTCAGTTAATAAAACACATTTTCACAAGTTGGAGCTGCTTTGAGATTTGACTCATACCTACCTACCTAGGCTACCTAGCTATCCTAATTGCAATTGGCTTATTAATTGCCAAATTTCATTAATTGATGAAATCAATCCACTTTTAGTCACAAGCAAATTATATGTGGTTAAAACACAAAACATAGACGCTAAGTTTGATACTGAAACAGGCTCGACAGTCCATGGTTGAACTAGTATTTATATATAGCTATTTCAACCATGAGTCCATGAGGCAGCCTGTCCCTCTCGAGTCTCGATCACAATCTCATGGCTCATGGGTTCTTGCTGCAAATTACACTTCGGAAGCTCATACTTTTAAAATCAAAATAATTTATTAATTTTGAAATTAAAACAAGACATCTACAGGCGTCAAATTTCTAAACCGCTGCCTCAGTGCCTAGATAATATGTAGCTAAAAATTGTGAAATCACGATTCATGAGACATTGATGCTCCGCATAATCCGACTTAAAAAAGTAAACAAAACCCAGCACGCTGATTGGCTGAGAGCTGGAGTGTTTTGAAAGTACGCCTTTAGCTAAGTCGGTCGTACGGAAGTTTTGAAGGTGCCAAAATCCGCTGATCGTACGCTCGGCGTATCTTCTTGAGCTTAAGTTCAAGAAGTTACGTCCACTTGGCAATATTTGAAAGTACCTGCCCTGGCCACCAATGTAATGAAGTCTTGCACAGGGTGCATCAGAGAAACATACTTATTTGAAAGGTCAATGAAAACAAAAGTACTTCTAGGATTGTTTTAAATTTTTTTTATTTGAGAATACAATTTCCCAATTTTTTTTTCATATAGTCTTGAAAATTACATCGGATAAATGGCAACCCCCATTGCGCATACACTGATGAAGTCGATTTTTTGATATTCGTATCCACTCTTTGCAGCATATCAATCGGTATGTTAGCAATGGCGTCGCGAATGTTGTTATTGAGATGTGCTATGGTCCGTGGTCGATCGACATAAACCAGAGATTTCAAATATCCACATAAAAAGAAATCGCAAGGAGTCGATTCTGCAGAGCGTGGCGGCCATTGGAGATCGCCTCTGAGAGAGATGAGGCGGTCGGGGAAATGTTGTTGCAACAAATTCATTGAGTCTCGTGCAGTGTGTGCTGTGGCTCCATCTTGCTGAATCCACACGTTCCTAACGTTCATTTCTTCGAGACTTGGAAGAAAATTCCTCGATCATGTTGCTGTAACGAGCTCCATTGACGGTAACTGCGCGTTCGTTTTCTTCAAAAAAAAAGGACCAATTATTCCCATTACCGACATCGCACACCAGACAGTAACTCGCTCACAGTTAAGTGGCTTCTGGTGAAGCTCACATGGATTTACACCACACCAATAAAGCATGTTTTGCTTGTTGACGCAGCCGGAAATGTGGAAGTGAGCCTCGTCACTGAAAAAAACGACCGCGTCTTCAGGCAGGTTGTCAACGAGCATTTCACATGCATTTTGAAGAACAACAGAATCGCGTTCAGTTAATTCTTGCACAACAGCAAATTTATTTAAGAAACAAACTTGGGAATTTTCCCCTTCAGATGCGCCCTCTCTCGCCCCTCTACCTGCAAAACTCGCCGCGCAGGAATTTTTTCAAATAAGTAAGTTTCTCTGGCGCACCCTGTACTTCATCGGGTTCGTTACTCGGGTGCATCAAACATCAGCCACCAAAACTAATTTATTGAGCAACAACAATAATTAAACAGTATTGTTAGAAAGATTGACACGACTCTAGACAAGCTAGGTGCCCAGTCCAACAATTCACAATAGGTGACAAAGGTCATAGCACGTCCCAGATCCTGGGAGCACGCGAAGATACTTCCAAGCAAATACTTGGTATACACGGTCCCGGAGGCAGCTTACTCTCGTGACCCGCAACCCTATATTGGAAATAAATACTTTCATACTGACTGATATTACTCACTTAAGCACTTGCATAGCAGATTCTATATATGATCACTTTTTAACCAATTTACATGAAACAGAAATAGCTAATTTATTGTTAGGATATATTTGGTCTAATATAGCAGCTCACCAATAAAGGCAGTGCAAGATGACTTAAAGCACAGCAGAAGAGTGGCGCAATAGGTCAACTAGGCCTAAAATGGGTTGTTCACGGTAGGACCTCCTCTTAACGACTGACCTAACGCACGGTATAGTCTCTCGTAAGAACGATTTCCTTTTGGTGTCTTCTAATATGTAACAAACAACCTTACAGCATAAATGTAGCGCGTCCTGGTAGCAGATTTTAGTTCTTCGGTTATAGCAGGGAAGGGAGCGCAGCCGTGCACCACCAATTTTGTACACCAATAAGCCCTGAATCGAACGCCTTGGATCTCTCCGGACCTATAGCAATCAGCCGTGCACCACTCGGCTTTGTCCTCTTCCGGCCTTGACCACCACCTGCCGTGCACCACCAGCCCTATCAAAGTTTTGATACCTGTTAGCCGCTGGCTTTGTGGCATTATACTCGGCTTAGGGGCGAATCACGCGACTATAGGCCACCTAACTGCATTCAGCGGCTAGTCACGGGCCGAATGCGGAGTAGATTGCTCGATAGGCCGAATATACGAAATCAGACCGAAAAAAGCAGCTAGCCAGGTTTCTGAGGGCAGACGCTGTTATTTGAGCGAACCATGACCATCTCCCGCCATCATATGGTGCGATGTATGTACGTACATGCGAACGTTTGTCAAGACATTTGATGGAACGAAAGTAGAATTGACTTTACCAATTTTTGAAGCTTTCGTGGCATGGAAATATGATTAAGGGGTGCAGGAGCAGAAAAATACTTGATAAGTACGTGGCAGTAAAATGTAATGCCTGTAGCTCCAAGAGAAAAATGTCAAATTCTTGTCATAACATACATAACCAATACGTAAGCTGTTAATTAGCAGAAAAAGCAATTATGATCGTTTTATTCAATTGCGATTACTGGACGTGAGTGTCAAACAAAACGTACATAACTCTGCTCAGGAACCTAACTACTTTTTGAACGAATTAAAAAAAGTTTAGTCATTAGTTCAAACAACCTCGATAACAAAACCTGGTCAATGCTTTACGGTTCTTGTTCCTCAGGGTTACTTTATCATGTTCACAGGGCAAAATTTGTGGCTAGCCTCTTTAAATGTTTGAATATTATTCCTGTTTAACGTGATGCAGCTTGAGGCTGAGTTTACACGACGTTACATGTTCGTTTGGCTCGCCGCTGTCGCCCAGCGGGCGGTAAGCCGGCGACCGGCTTAGTTCCCTAGTGATACTAGTTAAGATCACACGTCGAACGGCGAGCGTTGCTCATTTCAATCCTGATCCTGTAATCGTAGTGGGAAAAGTGAACTTGTAAAGTATTAGACTTGAAAATTATATAGTTTAAAAGCTGAACATTATTAGAAACTAGAAATGTATTCGTTGTCCTGTACAATGGTTCTGCAAGTGGAGTTCATTGAGAAACACGACACCGATACCAGCATTACGGGGATATAGTGGCGCCATGATGCTGGCATTCTACTTCGCTTAGATTCCGGAACTGGCAGTAATGGAAATTTTTAACTCGAGGTATATACTGACATGATCATGTTATTTTAGCTGCTCATGTCCATATACTTCAGGTTTTAATTTCTATCTCAGCGAGAAAGCTGGATCCATGTGGAAATGCCAGTTCACTCAAGTTCAACTGCATGGTTATAGGCTTATTAATCTTCACTCTTCACCAGTCAAGCTGTCAGTGTCACCATGTCGCTGCAAGAGAAACGCGTACAAACATCGATAGAAATATATTATAATAAACTCCGTAAGTAAGTTCATTGTAATTATATGCCTGTTTTTCGTTGTATCGTTGGGTTTGGTACCAGAGTGAAATCGAAGTAATGTGAATTGGGTGATTTTCGAAGAATTGCATATTATTGGAGCATGAATTTCCGAACTTTCCATTGAACATGGCAATGTTGGGAAGGTCATAGCCTAAGTTCCTACTGGAAATCAGACGATAGCATTTGATTTGTTCTTTTTCACAACCACTGTAGCCTGTAGGAAGAATTTTATACTCCTGCAAATCAGTTCGATAGACCATTTGGTACGGGTGAATGTGTTGGGATGTTTCGCACATGCTTAATGTGTGCTAACATTGAGCGGTGTTGAATAGTGGAGAATATTGATCGTTGAGTGCTAGCCTATTGCATATTGGAGAAAGCTGATCTTTGAGTGCTATTGCATGTTGAAGAATGTTTGGTTTTGGGAAATGTGTGAGAATGCTGACTGCTGGTGAATATTGAAAATTATTTTGCTCGGGCAATTTGCGAGGGTCTTGCAATTCTGGAAAATATTAGAGAATGTTGTAGGTAATGTGGAAAGTTGGGGTTGAAAGTTGTATTAACTGATATTATTCCCGTTTCAAACTCGTGTTTACTTGCCACTTGCGTCGCTGTTCCGCGATGATACATGCCTAGTCTGCTAATATATATATATATAGCGTACAGCGATTCAAATGCCCCCTCCCTTCCCCCCATAAAGGGGAAAGGGAGGGGGCTTTTTTAACGCATTTTTCAGATTCGGCCGTGTCTGTCCAGAACGTATCAGGTACCAAATACGGCCGCCAAACGAACGCCCCAAGCTCGACAGGTATTTCACAAGATTCCCTTTCGTCGCTTATTTTGCTCCGGCAACAGGAACCTAAAGCGGACATAGAGCCGCCGATTTATACCGTTGGGCGAGCTTGGGGAGCGCTTGAGCCAGCGGCTGACAGGGGGACGCCTGTCGGAGACCACCACTGCAGTGCTTCGAATGGACTATCATGATCCCTTTCCTGAAGAACGTAGCCTACAACACTTCTTGACTGTAACGTTATCAGCCGCTTGCCACCAGACAGATCACATCCATTGAATTAGACCAATCAGCCCATAGGAAAATAAGCCTGGCGTCGTATGGCCCAGCGTCGTCTGCCAACACGCGAAAAAATTTTACACCACCCGGACGGAGCGCGCCGGAGCCGTCCGTATCTGTCCCGTGTGTCGAATCAGCCCACGGTCAAACGGCCACGCGTCGTACGACGATAAATTTTGGAACAGAACTATGCTATCTGAAACCTAACCTCAGATGCTGTGAGCTAAAAGTTACGTACGTAATTTAGCGAAGCTGTAAAAGTCGCTCGTCGAAGGACGATAGATTTTGGAACAGAACTATGCTTTCTGAACCTAACCCCGGATGTTGTGAGCTAAAAGTGACGGTCTGGTGGTGCACGGCAGGATACATGCAGTTCCACTGGCGACCTGGGCTGGTTGGTCACAGTCCGTTGTCCGCAAGTTACAGTTCGAGCTAAAGTCAGGGTATGAAGTGATGATTCGATGCAACGTTCAGTGGTGGACAACCATTACTTTCTGGGCTATTTGCTTCAGAATGTGGTGGCGTAAAGCTCCTAATATTTAAAGCAAGATGATGTCACGGGCTGGTTACCGACGGATGGCTTAAATCCACGGCTGCTTGGTGGTCATCCGGAAATATGCTAGGCGTTCCTTTCAAGGCTGATTGGTGCACAAATTTGGTGGTGCACGGCTGCGTACCCCTGACAGGCATCAAAATTTTAATAGGGAGGCCGCGGATCGAATATGACTTCCAGGCATCGTTAAATTACGTAATTTTACGTTCACCGCATCTGAGGTTAGGTTTCAGATAGCATAGTTCAGTTCCAAAATTTATCGTCCTTCGACAAGTGGCCGTTCGACCGAGGGCTGGTTCGACCCACGGCCTAGATACGTACGGCTAGAAGTGTTGAAGGCTACGTTCCGGAAGGCAGGAATCCTGATGGTCCATTACATTCAGGGCAGTGGTGGTCTTCGGCAGGCGACCCGCAGTAAACAGTCGTTATAATGGTAGTCAAGCAGCTGAGTTGGTTGTCGAGTAACACTTGCAGAATTTGCTACCAATACTTTATTTAAGTTATAATGATCTAAAAATTCCATTGAAAAAATAAAGCCGACGCCTAAAATTTCATCATAGAAATAGGCAGACATACAGTGTTGAATATCCAAAGGATAAAATCATCGTATCTCAATCACGAGACAAGAGGTCCGTTGGTCTTTTTTGTGAGCAAGCGTTCGCCGCTGCACGCTGCAACCATTCAGGTATTTGATACTTTATAACAGACGCATATGAATTAATTAAAAGATTACGAAATTTTTTTCCTTGTTTTCCTATTCGAGACCATGTCCAAGAAGCGTTGCTGTGTCCCTGCATGCGGCAAAAAACTTATTTATAACCGACGATGCCAGGAAAGCCACGCACGAGACGACATGAGGACGACTAACTTCGCCTGCAGAGATGTGCAGAGCGCATGCCGTTGCCCATAATTGTAATCAATCCTCAAGTTCAAAGCTAGCAAAACAACTCCACTTAGTACAGTACAGAGAAGACTTGATACAATAGCAAAGGAATATTGAATAAACGTTTTATGTGGCACTATACGATTACATGTTGCACGTTCTAGCGTGCGGTGCCGCTATATATACTCAGGAGCGTTGCTGTGCATGGCTTTCTATCATCAATCATCAAGTTAACAATAAAAACAACTCCACATAGTATAAATTCAGTACAAATAAGACTATTAAGCGTCAGGGAATATTGAAAAAGCGTTTTATGTGCCACAATCGGAGTCAAGATTTCGGTTGTAACTGGATGGATCTAAACTACCACGCAATATTCAACTCTGCTAATTTAAATGGCTACTTTATTGATGATGGTACAAAGTTTATGTGCGAGGATGACGATTTGAAGAATAATTTAACTCTGACGTTGCAATTAAACATATATCTAATAAACAATTCTAGAGCCGCTATTAGTACCACTTGTCTATGGAGCCTCATTCAGTTAAACTTCCAGCGTACCATCCCCATGCTCCAGCCCTTGGCGTTCCAGTTAGTTATGGTCCAGGGGCTCAGCACTTCTTTGTCCCGAGATCGGCAGGGCGCCCCTGTAGACGTTGTCGGTGAGGCAGCCTTTGGCCACCGACCTGATCGAGTTGTCCGGGATGCCCAAGTTGGACACCTGTGGAGTAAGAAAACATTCAAGCCTTCAATTGAATTATAAACTTTTGCAAGTTAGCCGCAATTGTTCCAACGCTTGTGGTCACGGTGATCTAAATAATCGAACCAGCTCTTTTCCAGGCATGCATGACCCAACTCAATCTAAGATCAACCAAGAAGATCCTATATACAATGAAAAATTATATTCAGTAATACATCTAAAATGCAAACCCTGTTCGCACTGCCAGTTTTACGCCATCCATTAATCTTCAGAAATAATTATTTTCCCTCTGGTTTGGTTATGAAATAATTTTCGGGTTGGGCTTCTCACGGGAAAACAGGACGGCATTCATCACCTATATAAATACTCGTAGTTAGCTGGAAACTAACGTTTACTAGTATTTTGCATGTACTATTGAAAACGCTGCCAGGAATGACGTTTGAACATTAAACAACAGCCAAAATAGAGGGACATTAAACTGAAAACCAAACTTCTTCACCCTACAAATTAAAATCATAGCATAGAAAATAAAATCGTAGTTACTTTACTTTATTCAATAAGTGAAGCGCAATGAGTGAAATTATTATTTGTTCCATTAATTTGAATATTGAATAGGCTTGGGATAAAGACAATTAATATGTTGTTGATATGTGACGCGTCGCAATTTCTTAATTAAAGAAAGCGATTATGCTGATTTCAGGTTTTGGAGCGAGTTTAGTATTTCTTTTTCTTTAACTTTAGAACAATTTTCAGAAGAAATACTGAACATTTTCAGAAATTTTTTCAATTTAGAACCGGCCAAATTTGAGTTGTACTAAATAAAAAGCCGTTTTATCATATTTCATATAAATGTTCGATTTCAAAATAAAGTTTGAAAAGCGAGCGGCTCACCGGGTAAACGAACGAAGTGCGAATTTGAATGTCACCGCTCGAGTGTAAATGTGTCGGGTACAAGCACACGGCCTCTCCTGTGAACTGCAGGCCTCTGTGAAGAACAGATTTTCAGGATATCAGTAAAGGTAATTCTAGTTTTCGGAGTTCGGTGCGAAGGACTGCTGTGTGTTTTTGAGGTCAAAACGTCTCAAGCACGACATTTTTCCTTTTTTAGTAAGGAAAAATGAAATTCTCCATTGAATACATCAACAGGGAAACGAAGAAAATACAAATTTTACATATCACCATTTCACAAGAACCACAACGTCGTGGCTGCCAGCGGTTAATGACAATGTCACTCACAAATAATATGGTACCAAGCAATTTAAGAAGTTATCGCAGCGGCTCGTAAACTACCCTTGTCAAAAATGTCGCACACATACCAAACTACTTAAAGCACAACGCATGAGATATTGTTAAACCTCCAATACCGCCGAAAACTTGATAAATTGGCCAAGAAATAATTGATCTGAGAGCCGCTGCTTCGCCCATTCAAGCTTCGAAGGTTTAAAAACTTATTCGTGTTAGGGAAAATGTTCAAGTCCACCATCATTTCTCGTGAAAACTTGGTAGCTTTCTTTCCAATTATATTTAATTGGTATATTAGTTGTCAGAATAGGTCAATCAATTGATTTTGAAAATTCATGGGAACTAACGATAATAAGGATATTTGCCTTTAGCTAGTTGGCAACCATTTCTGTGGCGGGACCGAGGCTGTTTGATACAATTGCCAATGGAGCTTGAGAGAAGGGGAGTTCACCCCTATGACCCTGGAGGGAGGGGGAAGAGTCCACTTTAGGCACATTCGATAGACTGAACGGGTTCTTGACCGAAATCGCCAATATTCCGTCTTTGTACCACTACCAGCGGCTAAAAGCAAACAACAGCATTGTGCATCAGCTGGCATCAGCCAGGTCTAACTGAGGGTACCAGCTGACCCGTCAAAGGGTATGGGCTGGCCCAACTGAGAGCATAAATTCCCCGACTTGGGGCATCAACTGGCCAAGATGAGGGCCTCAGGGATTTTACTGCCAAGGATCCACTACCCCAAGTGATTTTAATGGTTAGGGCGGCCTGCCTGCCGACTGCTGAGGGCGGCCGCGGCAAAATACTAAGGCGCGCCAGCCCGCAGCGAGGCCTGGGAATGCTAAGTCCCACGCTTCCCAATGTCACAATTCTATCATTTTGTGTTAATGAACGTGGTGACGTTGGATACTTCATCACGCACGTGTAGAAAGTCCACGGAGACTGTCCTTGTATGATAACAGAAGTCGTCCTCATGTCCATGTGGCCAACGGTCTCTGCGTCCGTGTTGCTCCGGAACTCATCCCCCGAGTAGGCCCAGCCGTCGTACAGGTTGTAGTACACGTCGTCGATGCCGTACGGACTGCCGGCGTACCGCAGTGAAGATGCCTGCGGAAGTGAGGTCTCGAGTTATCATAAGGCTCCTAAATACAGGTTTTGCAAATATTTCTTCGCGAAATTTTTTAATTTGAAATAATTTGTGAGTCTCTGTTAGAATCGCATCTCTTCAATGGCTTCGTCAACCTGTCGAAGTGGAGACACATCTTTATCTAAAGCATTATATAAAATTCTTATTTCATCATGGAAGATAAAATCAGGGATAAATCTTACCCTCTAAATCATTCCAGATAAATCATAAAATCAAATCCTCAGTTAAATTTATTTTCCACTTCATGCTGTATTCAATATTATCAATATTTAATATCAATTTATCAATATTAAAAAGTAACGGATTTTATATATAGATACATTTTGATCAGAATCGAAAATACGTAATATTAATTCGAGAATTTCGAGTTTCAGTCGAATTTCACGATTAATCTTCATAATACTGTGCAGTGTTATAATATGTCAAAATATAAGATTAAGTATCAGTAAGCTCTTTATGATTCAACCACTCTCATAAACATTAAAACCACCACGCACGAGAACTTTTTAAAATGACCTTATTTAAAACATCGAACTGAGCCATCACCTCATTGATTAACATGAGTTAGTAATTATTTAAGTAAATTAAGTCACACTCACATTTCCAGCGATGGGAGAATCGAGGTTGTAGCAAATGTTGATTCCGGTACGATGGTAATACGTGCTTCCTAAGACTTCGAAGTTGTAGAAGTTGTCTGCGTACAGCATCCAGCTGCGGGACAACCATTTGCTTATAGCTAACTTCGATGTTACGGAAGCGCAATTGCAATTTTCACGTTTGATGCAAAAACATACAATGAGCATCTTTGTGAATTTCTAAAGTAGTTCTGTTTTCGATTAATACAAGTTTTCGATTAATTTTTAAAACTCAAATGTTTTTCATTGAGCAGGTGTGTTTAAGCCCTGCGACTGCTGGGCTTCTCTAGCTTGTTCTTCTACTTATTCTCGGGCGCATATGTTCTAGTCTGATGATAATGATACGGCCATTATAATGAATCTATCACTTACTCGCCAGTAAAACGAATGCTGATGATGGAGTTGTCCATGGCGTACACGCTCAGTTCTGGGGTGTAGTCGAAGAACTCGTAGAAAGCGCCCGTACAATTAGGTGCGGTGTACGCTTTAAGGTACCGTAAGTCCGGGATATCTGGGTAGTGCCTTAATATTACTATACATTATGAGTATTTTATGCATAACCGATATCTGTCGGGTTTAATATAATGACTTAATCGTCTTGTTTTTCTAAGGTAGGTGCCTCGCGCAGACTATGTACGCCTTATTTACTCAGTAGGAAGATAATGCAGATAAAGCCTGTTTACATCATTGTACAACAGGTTTTACAGCTTCAGGAGCGGATAACATTTGGTACCTTTGATAAAATTTTCATCTAGCTTAATTAAACTGTCATCTTATGTGAATTAACGTAAAGATTAATATTTTTAATCCATCTAGAATGTGAAGTGGCGAAATATTTCTTCTGAAAAAGCCTGCAGCGATAGGGATGTAAGTATCAAGAATTGCTGCAACTTAAGTTGCACTCCAGGGCTATAGCCAGGGGCTCTCAATAATTAGAGGTTCTTCAACTAATTAATGTGCTCTCAATAAAGATCTTCCGCCAACCACTTTATCAGATTATTAATGAACCTTTTAATAGATTAAACATGACACCTGAACTCAGCGCGATCAATGAACTTACAATTTTATTAAGTATGTTTGGGTTGCGGTCTATCTTTTCTTACCTGCAGCCTCGCCGAAGAAGCAAGACAGCGCACCCACAAGGGTGGTCAGGACGTAGAACGAAGCTCCCATCTTCTTGGCCTTCGACATGAAACAAACCAAGGCAGTCAGAGCGCGACTCCTGTGCCTTGTTATCGGCATCATCAGCACAGATAAGGGTTGTGTTCACGACAATTACGCTGGTAATTTTCTTGATTTGACTAAAAATTTTATTTTCTTCATTCAGTTCACTGCGAACAAGCCTCATTTCGAACCTTGTTAATTCATATTCATCTTTGTGGGCCATAAATAATTTAAAGATTTTTTTTAGCTTTACTTATACTGCGGGAAACATGTCGCCATCTAATTGTTTGATTTATCAGTGATAGTTTGGGCAGATGCTTGGAGTTGGTGGGTAATACGTGGAGGAGGTTGGCTAGGTCTCCGGTGTCAAGACAAAGTCCCTCCTTACCTTAATTTTGGAAATTGAGCTCAAATAAATTAAAAGTTCGTGAATGTTGTTCATCATGTTGATGGTCACCGAGGACCAACCACTTGACTCACTATAAAGATAAAACTCAAGATCATCTTCGGTATCACTCAGGTAGAGAGCGGTGTCTGATAAAAGACGAAATCAAGTGTTTGAGATTTATATATTACCATGAATGTTGCCTTTTACGAAAACAGATATTCTCATCTTAAATGAACAAATGCAACAGGCTTTTATCACAAAGTTGTTAAATTCTTCTTAACTTGAAAGCAATAACGGAAAGACATTCTCCCCATGTACGTTAGTATCTGGTATTAATTCAAATGCTGTTTGGATCACGTCAATATTATAACAGGTATGAGAGAAGGTAGATATGAAACAGTGAAATACCACCTTATAATTGTAATTTTTTATCATATCCTGCTGAATAGATGATTCATATACAGTGGTAGGAAATAAATATTCGTACACTTGAAAAATCGTATTTTAATGTAAGTACACAAACTTAACAGGAAAAGGGATTTAAATTATGTATAGAGACGCATAGTATTCAAAAATACTATCAAAAGAAATTAAATCTCAATGCAACATGTTCACTTTTCGGGTGAAAAAAGTATTCGTACAAAACAATAAATCCGCATTATTTTAATTTAATATATTGATGCTATTTTTTAATACAATGCGCCTCTATACATAATATAAATCACTTCTCCTGTTCAGTTTGTGTACTTACATACATTAAAATACGATTTTTCAAGTGTACGAATATTTATTTCCCCCCACTGTATATGACAGCAATACGTAACTCACAAAGCGGTAATTCCTGGAAGCACTGCCTTAATGTAAATACCAGAGTTTTACTGTACTTTACCTCCATCCTCGTAGTTCTTGGCTGTAGCATCAATGAAGGTGAGGAGAGGAGTAAGACAGCTGGAGTACTTAGAGGAACAGGGAAGGTCGCAGCACCAGAGCGGGGTGGTCGGGGATTGGAACGATGCGTTGGCCGCGAGGTGGTGTCTATTTCGCGGCTACTTGGCTGCCGTTGTTTGACGTAAGCTTCTCATCGTTGCGATCTAACTTGAACTTACTGATGCACTACGCCATTACTGCGTATTAATCGCATTACTAAACTGGTTGCAAATCGTCTCTAGTTATTTGTCTGGTGTCGATCGATGGAATGTGCTGATGGTAATGTAGCGAATCTCGCTATATATAACTTGTTTTATGTCTATTTATTACATTTATATGAATAGTCCAGAGAGAATTCGCTTTCGTTGGCAGGCAACATTTCACTTCCGTTAAGCCTCACGCTCTCTAGCTTCCTCCCACGCTTAGAGCCCATTCTTTTTCCTGCCGCTGTTCCGCTAACATACCCTGGTAAGCTCCCTAACTAATAAAATCTAAACCGTGCCCATAAGATAGCACCTGTCTTCAGTTGTGCTGAGTGCAGTGTAGCGTAATAGATCTTGTCTTCAGTTGTGCTAAGTGCAGTGTAGCGTAATAGATAAATCTAGAGACATTGCAAGGTTTTGTGTTAATCGATTTTGCCATGCCTTAAGCTGACGTGATAACTTGCTCACTCATCAAATGGTGTCGTGAATTAACGTATAGTTCTGTTTCGCAGTGACCTCACATCGGCGATATAAGAATCATTCCTGCCTCGCAACGTGTAAACTCAACATCTCGTGCCTGTGTAACAACGCTCATCTCGTGCCTGTGTAACGACGCTCATCTCGTGCCTGAGTAACGACGCTCATCTCGTGCCTGTGTAACGACGCTCATCTCGTGCCTGAGTAACGACGCTCATCTCGTGCCTGAATAACGACGCTCATCTCGTGCCTGTGTAACGACGCTCATCGTGCCCTGGACTCGACATTACGTGTCTCAGTAACATCACCACGACAACGTCACGTCACGTCTCACCACGCGTAGAAGAATCAGCACCTCGACGGCTCGGTCTTCACTACCGTCACCGAGACGTCTTCACTACTGGCTGGTCGCCCAATTCCTCCCGCGATCATCATCATCGAGCACGTGATGATGGTCACGTGAGCCTAATCGAATAAAGTGTTAATTATTGATGTTGTTGTAATTTACCGACCAATTACATCAAGCCGTTCCTCAGCAATTCCAGTCTGTCCTATTGAAATAACTCTAATTACCTTGGCCTTAATATCCACTGATAGGAGTTAATTGTTTTTGGACGTGGTATGGGGCTTAATTAACACACCACAGTAAAATTTGAATCAGTGTACTCTGATGATCGGAATCGTTCGTGCGGAGTGGACATGGGGCCCTAAGCAACACGAGAACCCTTATAGACCCTCCCTACACACTATCACAAACTGTTGTCTCCCGCTTCTTGTTGGTTTGCGGTGATAATCGATCATTTGTCAAGTTGACAATGATTATTTTACAAAATTAATTGCCTGTATATCCTTTGAAGACATAGGACGCTTTTAAAAAATATGTGCAAGCATCTGCTGCACTTTCGATTTTACTCATTCCAAATAAACTTACTGCCTAAATTCATCATCACACTAAGTGGTGCAGATTTCACCTAAAACTTGCAAATTTAGCGTTGCATTGCCATTATTTCCAACTGATAGCCATTTGTGCTGAACAAATATAAAATTCTCGTAGTTACTTCGGAGAACTACATAAAATTGGGTTAGGAGGATTATAGGATCTGTTACAGGATCTAGGCTTAGGCCCAACTCATAAGGTTCTTCTTTATTAAAGCTATTTCGGGAAAACAATTGTTCTATAATTATACATAATATGTTAACTGGGTCGCATTAACAATGATTATCTTAACTAGTGTATCATGTATTATACTCCATAGAAACACGGTTTCCACCTTCACATTGTTAACTGAAGAATGACTCTCGCTGTTATTGGCTTTGTAATCTCTTTTGTAAAAAAATAATTATAGCGTAACACATGTTATCACTAAATGCCGTAGAAAATTGAAAATCTAGATTACAGTAAAAAAGTAGGAATAGGTTATTGATATATCAATGTAAGATTTTTTGCGACGATGCTAACTTGAAAAATATCAATCTCTAACTTAAAATAGTTATTATAAATCTTGAGAATACATTATTTTAACCCTTTACCGCCTGATTTTCTGGGACAAAAATCGCAAATTTCACTTCTCCGGTTTTTAGTCTCACCTTAAAGGGCCCCATACACCATAGAGTCCGACTCGCGAGTCTAACTCGTCTGACCGGAAATGTGGCGCCAAACGAGCCGAGGTGGGCAAAAACATGCGAGCCGTGCCAGGGCTTCCACTGCTTGCTGTGGGGCTCGGCTCGAGTTCAGTTGCTATGTAGACGTGCGAATTCGTGTGCGATTTTCAGCCATTCCTCGCACGATGATGGAAACTGAAACGAAACACAATAGAATTTAGATTATTTTAAAAGTATAACTTGGAGTGCATAATGCATTCTTCAACAGTATTGCAGTAGCGAATATAACAATACCTATCTATTTATATTTTAATTTATTCTATAGGCCGAGCCAAACGAAGATGGGAACAACGCCGACAATGAAGAATTATTGTACAGTGAATCACAGACTTCGTCCACAAAGCGGAAAAGAATTTCACCAAAGCGAACAAAAAATTATAGTGCTGAAGAGGAAGTGCGCCAACGCAAAGCACTTCTAGAAAAGGCTTCTGCTGTACTAAATAGACCGGAGGATGAATACGATGACCTAACCAAGACGTATGCAGCTAAATTTCGCCGCATGCCTGTTTCTCAAAGAGATATTGCTGACAAGTTGATTAATGACGTCCTCTTAAAAGGGTTAAAGAACACTTTGACAAATGACCATTTCATTTCTCACTGTAGTTATTCAGCTGTTCCTTGTCATGAGACAGAAGCAGCGTCTTCTTATGTAACTACTATAACAAATTATTCAACCTCCATCTCAAAATCAAATGACGAAGAGGCCGAGAACACGTTCTAATTTGATGATTAATAATATTAAGAAATTCAAACTGATGTGCGTGTATACATTTTTCTACAATTTAACTAATTTGTTTAACACAAATTTCATCTACAATAAATAATGGAATAAAAAGGAAATAAACACAGTTCATAGTTATGCCGTTTTCTTTACCGTCCGGTGGCTAAAAAGCGTCGAGTAGCAATTAGCCGTTCCTCCGCTGTTATAGCTTTCCGAAGTACAGTATCTCGTTTTGCTATGAAGGGTTTGACTTGGTCCAAAAGGACATTGAAGTTTTCTGCAGACATCCTTAAATAGTTTCGATAGTCGTTTCGACTATCGTCGCGAATGAAATTTAGCAAATTTATATGGCTGAATCTTTGTCGATTGACAAGCCATCCTTTCGACCATATAGATCGTTTTCTCCGTTGCTTTTTCACTCCTCCGAGCTCACTCAAAATGATGGCAGCAGCAGCAACTTGCCTCCGATGACTCATCTTCACGACTGGGCTCTGCGAGCAAAGTACGTAGGTGTATGGAGAAATCTCGCCAGATCAGATCCGAGAGTCAGAATCAGTTAGCCGGACTCGCGAGTCAGATACGCTAGTGTATGGGGCGCTTTAAGGTTTGTATTCAAAGCCGCCCGAACTCCACAGCGAGCT